GGAACACACACACACACACACAATCTGATTAATTATGCAAAGGGTATTGAAGGGTTGTGGGAAAATGAGAAATTATGCGGGGTCATTGTAATGATGTACTGCTAGGCAGGACAAATATATGTATATATATATATATGTATACATGTATATCTAGATATACATATATATGTATGCATATACCTGTACAAAAACATATTATATATATATATATTACATAGAGCCAATTTTGGAAACAAGACTTTAGGGACGGAGAGAAACCTGGCCAGAAAAGTGAAGACAACCCTTGGGGGTTGGGGGGTAACTTTGAAACCCTATTTGTGGGTTTCCCAAAATTGGGGCTACCATTTGGGGGTCCCTATAATAAGGACTATAGTAGATTGGGGTCTATATTGGGGTACCCAGATTTTGGGAAAGTACCATTTGGCTCTAGAAGTTTTCATTAGCTCCCGCACGTCTGAAACAAAAAGAACTCGACGAAAAACAGTGCTTGCATCCTAGAACATCTGACGCACGGCTATTCTTACCTTTGGTTAGCTAGGAATGGAGGAATGAGTCCTAGTATTTACAGCATTTGCAGCTCGAAGCGCTTCCAGTATTGCGACTAGCGGACGGCATGTCAAAGTTGGGACTCTGCAAATCCCAGCATTTTTGGAAAACCTGAAATGTTTGAAATACTGCAACTTACAACATGCACAAATGCTTGAACTCCAGCACTGGCAGTCTGTGGAACAGTTAAGCATGGCCTTTATCAGCACTGGCATCGCTTGGAAAAACTTATTCGAAGCGGGCGTGCAGGTTTCAAAAACCCGCGCAGCCCGCCAACCCCCATTTGCAAACATCATGCGCAAATCATCCTGTACTTTTTCCAACCATGCGATCGGGTGGTAGAACACCTCGTGCCCGTCCGTGTCTTTTTGTCGCTGTATAGTGCTTTCGTTGTTGCTTGTTTGTGTATTCCTTCGTTGGCTTGTATCCTTCATGCTGGCTAATTTCCGGTGTGTTTCTCACGATACTTTCTCAATTGGCTTTTTGACTTCGCTGCCTGTCCTACCTCCGTGTTTTATTTATTCTTCTTTCTCAAGCTCTTTGTGTTCTGTCATTCCATTCCATCGTAGTTTGCTCTCATGCTTCGACAAACCCATTCGAAGACCCTTGTCCAGAGTGCTACCCTCTGAAGACCCGAGTAAAAAACACTAGCAATTGCAAGTTTTCGGGATCATGACACATGTGTTTCCTCAGCGATTGCTGGTTCCTACTGTCACAAAAATGCAGGAAAAATCTTTCCTCCCGTCGTCCTGGACTTGTCCTGTGTATGTCTTGGGTTGGTCCTCAGTGATAAAGGCAAATGTCTTGTACGAAGCCCTCCCTCTTCAACCCGCATCCCCATTGCATAGTCTGATCCGCAAACCCCTTGAAAAGCCTCATGGCCATTAACACTTGCGTGCTCTCATAGACTCCTGCTTGCTTGCGGCTCTGGGCAACTCCGTCACCACCGACGCAAGCAATAACCACAGCCCGTCCGAACTGAAACCCAAACTCCAAGCAAGAGCTGCTTGAATTAACACACTGTAGTATTTTTTGCAGACTGACGTCTTCGGAGAACCCAGCACCCCGCCTGCAACAGCTTGACCTGGATGGCCTCCTCGAAAGTGCCAGATGTCTCGCTTGCGCAGCCTTCGCAGCCTTCGCACATGTCCATGGTAACTTCAACTTGCACTCCTTCCCTGACTGGTTTTAGCTACTTCCAGACCTCATTCTCACATTTTTGTGAAACCGCATGCCTCCCAGTTCAACGACAGAAGGTTGCCAGCAATCAGAAACCAAAGCAAACGTAGATAATCCTTATAATGTAAGATAAAACCCCCTTATTACCCCTAAACCCTAACCCCTAATTACTAATCCCAGTAAGCAAAAGGCCTGATGGGTCCATGAACCCCCATGAAGGTACGGTCACGAAGCATAGGAATGGCCCCAGAAACTGTAGAAGTGCCATGGTTTCACGACTACATTGCCTTGGGCCGCTTGAGCCACAGCTCTTTTGGGCATTTCTCCCACTTTATGACCCATCGAATTTAATACCATACTATAATCAGGTTTCGCAAGATACTGCCGTGACGGCTTACTTTTTGCATTGATGACGTCTGACTGTAATGCCTAGAACTGTTATGTTGCACATCCGTGGAATTTATGGGCTGTTGGCAGCCGGGCCATAAACCCTAAACCTTAAACCCTAAACCCGAAACCGCGCGCAAAGCAAGGCAAGAGGTAATGGAGTTCAACATCACGTCCAAAGCTTGCCAAGCCCTCTAGGTATAGTCTCCCGTACTGTAAGTAGATAGAATATGGGGGATATGATCGGTATATGGGGATCTTTTTATAATATACCCAAAACCATATTCAATCTAATTTAGGGCTATATACGGTGAAAAGCAGCTCATGGTATTCCTTGGCAAGTACGTAAGCCAGAATGGAGGGTCCAGGAAAGGTCCCATTAACTTGACGTGGACTCTTTTTGCACACATCGCGGAAAGGCAGCATGTCCAGGTCTTCAAATGCTTCAAATGCCTGGGCAGCGCTCCGGCACGGGTGCTTACATCCCAGAGGCCTGTCACGAAATTCGGCAGTCTGCTACTAGAGCTGGTTGCTCGGCTGTGGAAGGCCTTTCCATTTATTGCATGGGCTGTGCCAACAAGAAGCTGCTCCTATAAAACCTGTCCTCTCTCCGTTGGAAAGAGCCGCCCTACCTCTGAGTGAGGACGGCTTAGGTTTTCACAGCGTGCAGAGGTTGCGCAGGCTCTCAGACAGCTGCCTTGCAGGCGCTCCGGCCTGGGGATTCTTGGCCTTGGGCTTTCCCCCTTGCACTCAGCAAGCGCTGTCTTTGCCTCTGGCCCACCACAGGTCAGGCTTGACGGCTTGACGTCCCTGACCGTACAAGTCCAAGAAGACTACAGCTTACTTTTTAATCACCGCATTCATCCGGAGACCCCGGAGACCTGCTTGCCTTCTTGGATGCTCTGCTTTCAAAAGGATCCGCTGCCCTAGGCCATTTTGCTTGGCACCTTGAATGCCAAGCAGCCAGGAGCACGGGTTAGCAAACATTCCTTGTCCTCTTGTTAGTCAAGTCCTTGCAAAGAGGTCATACATAGTGGCCGGCAACCGCTCCCATACACTGGGCTTTTCGCAGGAGCATAGCCAACCGCTTGGAACCAGGACGTGGTGCAGCGGTGATTGACAGCTGCCACGACACTGGAGCTTCGGGAGCTTCTTGCACAGAGATGTTATGGAGCTGAAGAAGCAGCTTTGGCTTCTAGATCAGCTCTCAGGTGGCCATGGCAACAGCGCGGGGGAGCACGGCTTCTATTCCACACAGGTTGCATCATCTAGGATTCTAGGTCTGGATCAAACAGGCAAGCAGGTGAGGAGCTACGGGAAGGACCTAGTGGCCCTTAATGGCCGCGCAGGCTGCTCTGCATGCAAGTCCTGCGCCTGCTTTCATGCATGGCGGCGGAGGCTCCGAAAGCAACGGCAAGGCAGGCGGGTCGGGCGCACGCGGCACGCGGAGCGCCCGGGACGGGCTGGGCAGGCCACATGCATTCCGTGCCACCTCATACCTTTGAGCAAAACACTCAGGAGCAGATGTTGACCGCTGAATGATGTGCGAGACTGGGCAAGGTGATGGATTCCGGCTGTCTACCTACAGCGCAAGAAGTAAAGACACAGGGGAGTCGCAATACTTTTGGACACTTTCGGACACGACGAACAGGTCTTGAGCAAGTGAGCCATGCAACCCAACGTGATATTGCTGGCTGCGCCCGGGAAGGGAAACGAGGCCTGCTCAGTCAGCGACCACTAGCCAGGATGCAAATGGCGGCCGCACTGTCACACTGTGCTGCGCGCAGTTCAAGCGAGGTGGCAGAAACGGGGCAGCGGAGACTGCCGACATGGCTTGGGCAGGCAGGGAGGCAGGTGGATGGGGAAGCGGTGTGGTCGGGTCAGGATGCGGAGGCGCCTTGTGCCAAGAGTGCG